AGTGGGTATAAAAGAAACATGTTTGAAGTAAAAACATAAACTATACATAATGTATAAATTCAACCTTACTTTTATTACTTGTTTGTAAGATAGCGTTAATGATATTGTTTTTCTTCTAAATTAAAAGTTAATGTAAGCAGCAGCATTAGATAATGTGTATAAGCTTTAGGTTGGTCAGGCAGGTATTATTTATTATTATTATATCAAATAGATTGATAATATACGAGATTTAATCTTTAATGAATTTTAATAGACCTATTAAAATACGGCTAAGTGTTACCAGCTACTAAACTGTCAAGTTATTCAAAACTTTTAACAAAACTAACTTTGGGTATTTTTTATATTATAAGGTAGGCTATACAATGATTGGCCATTTAAGCGGATTTGTTCGTTTTGTTTGTCTGTGGTAAATTAATTATTAGTTTGCTATTGAATATGGTTCCTCGATGTTATTAAATAGAGGTTTAGTAATCAAAATCAAACTACTTTAATTTTCTCAATTTTATTTTAGTATGTATTAAAATATTTCAGATCCGACGAAAAAGTTTCAAATGTAGTCATTGGCATACCTTCTACAGATTATAGTAAAGAATGGCACACCAAAACTTTGATGTTTTGTTGTTAAAATATAGTTTTCATATACCTATGCAGTTGTTTTATATTTAACTAATTTTGTCGATACAATGAAACATTTAGTTTAGAAAAAAACATGTTTAAAAATACCTATCCGTCAACCAGCGACAATCAAACTCTAGTTTTTTTTAAACAAGAATGCCACTTGTAGGCAACGATATTAAATACCCTAGATACACCAACACGAACAAAATTATACCCGAAACCTGTCCACAAGGTACATTGGACGATCCACGGAGCTCGGTAAGATGATCGCGTAGTCTAAACAATATAAGGTATTATTTAAACTTTGAAAATCACCTTTAAAGCATACTGTATAAGGTCTTAATTAAAACGCACGCGTCATAGAGTTATGACAGTCCGATATGTAAGCTCGTAAAAATTTACGACTTATTGCTATATGCAGAAGAATAAAGACCTTATTTCTTTGATTGTACGCGCAATTCTGAATGCGCTGTTAGTAATATAGCAAGTACGGTCCGCGAGGAAAAGAGATGGCTATATTAACGACCGCGGACTTATTTCCTCGCGGACCGTACTTGCTATATTACTAACAGCGCATTCAGAATTGCGCGTACAATCAAAGAAATAAGGTCTTTATTCTTCTGCATATAGCAATAAGTCGTAAATTTTTACGAGCTTACATATCGGACTGTCATAACTCTATGACGCGTGCGTTTTAATTAAGACCTTATACAGTATACTTTAAAGGTGATTTCCAAAGTTTAAATAATACCTTATATTGTTTAGACTACGCGATCATCTTACCGAGCTCCGTGGATCGTCCAATGTACCTTGTGGACAGGTTTCGGGTTTCGGGAGATGTTGTGTGGTTTCGTTTGAAATTCGTGATTTCTCGAAAATCGGAAGTGCTACGTTACTCAAATCCGGTTTCTAGTCTTATCAGACTATTCTTAACTTATAACTTAAATATTCTCTTTATCTATCTCTTACGGTTTGGCCGCTGAAACAGCACCACAGACAGACGAACGGACGGACTTGTCTAATAGATAAGAGATGCCAACGGACATGAGTCTCCCGTAACTACTTTGATATTTAAGATGTAAATGTCTAGTTATATCTAATATAAATAAGAATATTTGTATTTATACTGTATGACGCAGCAATCAAAATGCAGGTGAACAATTAATGTATAATTTCACATTATGTAATAAACAAATTACACAGTATAGCCATCATTCAGTACAGCATACACCCGTCGGCACTATCGCCATGAATTAGGTTTTAAATTAGTGAGAAGACATCGAATTGGCCCTATCCGTTCCGGGAGAGGGGCAGGCAGTCTCATGTTAATTAATGGCTATGCTTCGTTTGTGTTGGATCTAATTTCAAAGTTAGTTAGTGTCATCAAACGTACACCAAACTGTATTTTTTTACTTTTTATATAAGTACAAAATGTAGACATTAATCTTATCTACCATCTCCAAGAGTCATATTGTGGTTTAGATTCATAGTTTCAAATATAATCTTTAAATCATTAAATTCAGTTTTTTTGCTCTCCTATAAAATTTGTTGGTAGTACCTTACTGTGTTTTGATTTGGGACAGCCGCGCTGTTTTAAACGCCCTGATCCAGATAGTGTTAGATAGTTCAAAAGTACTGCTGAATTTGTTTACAAATATATTTTGTAAAAAATATAAGCAATAGACGGAACTATAATCATTAGAAGTAAAAAGTTACCTAAAAATTTTTTTATGCGAAAACCTTCGTCCATGCCTATTTTATTAGTCGACGTTTAAAGACAGCAAAATTTTATGATGTTCCGATTCACGTGCTCGCTCTCGTGACTCAACGTTTTTTGAAATGAAACTAGTTATTTCTTTTTTAAATATTTGGAGGTCACCGGCATTAGCATTGCCAAATATAAGATTTTTAATTTTGTTATTGTCGTTTTTCATCTATTTTAGTCTTTGCGCCCCGCTGGTTTCGGATTTTTATAAACTTTAACGTTATTATTCGTATAATATAATATATATAGCTATTTTGAATCAACTATGAATGAGAAAGTAAGGAGCCGGTTTGTACTGAAAGGAATGATTTGGTATCATTGTTTTTATCAAATACGAAAATTTTCAACTACTTACTTTATCCTCCTATGTTTTTACCTTAATTGTTTTGTTTTCTTATATTTCTATAAAGTTAAAACTTCATGCAACTATTTTAAGAAAATTAGAGAAGCCTCCGTATATGATGTACTTCAACGCCCTTCAATCTTTATTTGTATTTATGTAACACCCTGTATAACATCGCTCTGCGGCCAGTAGGAGCGGATTATCGATGTAAAATGTTGCATAAAACGGGTAAAAATAATCCATTTGTGAGCTTCCGTTGCGTGCGCCGCGTAAATGATCAAAGTTACACAAAAATCACGTATGGCGGAATTGTTCCCCTTTAAAAGTTCTATAAAAAAGTTCGCGACAGCATATGCCCATCTTTTAAGTTTGGCTCACTATACACCTACTACTACATTACTACTACATTTTACCTCAAATTAACGCGGGTGAAACTGCACGACCTTGAGTTGTGACATCACTGTAATAGTTAGACATATGGTATTGGGGACTTTTTTGTAGATATTGATGTCCTTTATAAAACTTTAGTACATCATTTTGCTCTCCTGTCAATGACTTCCTCAGCGTAAGCGATATAAGGTTAATTTTTGATATTATTTTCACACCCTGGGTTACGTTTTATCAAAGTTTTCGTACGGAACCATAACTTTTTTGAACTCTATAGCCCGTAGTTTCGGAGCCTATTCAATACAAACAAATAATCAAATCTTTCCTCTTTACAATATAGATTTGATTTACGATTTGTTTTACAAGGTATTTTTATTTATAGACAAAAATATGGCGGAAGCTAAGCATAGCGTTAGATTCATCGTCCTAGGGCGGAAGTTTAACTGTCAGTTATTTTTTTTTATTAGATGTTTTTAAATGTCGACACTGTATGATACTTAAATATAGATGAATACTTATGTTATTAAAAGGTATTTGTCCAACCGCCGACGAGGAACGAGAACTGAGTAAAGTTCGAAACTAAAATCGAGTTAGCGAGCAGCGAGAAGCGAATTTGTAGTTCCATTATCAAGCCTCTCGCTCGCGGTGACAGTCACGGAACACAGAAAGAGCTAAGAAGGGCCTTGTGGGCGGGGCAGGCGCGCCACAGTTATGTGTGAGCAAATGCTCATAACTTCACCGAAACTTGGTTCTGATTGAGCCGTTGCTCATGGATGTGAGCGCTGATTGGTTCGATTGTTTGATGTCGCGTCCTTTGATTGGCTATTATCTATAAGGTGAAAGTGTAATGGGGGCGATCCGGCGACATCGATTCCCGTACAAACGGTCTAAGATCACCTTTCAAACCTCTTTGTGTTCTGTGGTGACAGTCCTGTGTGACCGAAAAATCTAACACACTTTTTCGCCCAGCCTACACAAACGAGTGTTCAAGTACAACAGGCGATTACTCACGACTCTCGCTCGCGGGGAAAGTCGTGTATGACGGAAAAATCTTACATTTTTTTTCGCCCAGCATACACAAACGAGTACAAGTACAACAAGAGATTATTCGTACCTCTCGCTCGCGGAGACTGTCCTGTGTGACGGAAAAAAACTTACACTTTTCTTGGCTTAACCTCCATCCCGTACCGTCGGGAATTTCGTTCCAATATTACCTATGCACAAGACTAGTCTAGACCCAATTTTATTTGCCCTACTTTCAGTCTGAACTTAAAGTAGACTACTCCACTGCTACTAAGCTACAAATATGACATGAATTTATAATCACCGATAGCCGAAATTCATATAATACTTATTTATTACTAGCTGTGCCCCGCGGTTTATTAGGGATATTTTCCCGCAGTAAAACGTCGCATATGTGTTAATCCAGGGTGTCACCTAACTCCATACCTATTAAAACTCACAAACTTTCGCCTTTATAATATTGGTGTGATACTCAATACGTCATCATGTAGCTGGAACTAGCAGACATTGTAGCAGGCACATCCAACAGCGTGGCCATAACAAAACAGACGGTAAATGTATTTCTGGCCACTGTTTTGGTTTTACTCGTGCATTCAAAAGTAATCAAGTGGTTTTCACGAGGGTACCTAATGCTATTTTCAAGTATATCTAAGGTGAAATTTACCATTCAATAGATAGCAGGAACAAGCAACAATATCTATTTTTATTGCCAAAGCGACAAAACATACCTACACAAACTACCTACACATGAAAAAATTGCGTAACTTTCGTGGAACACTTAGAACGAAGATAAAAATATTCATATTAATTTTTTTTTTTTTATTTTTGCGTATTAAAGAAAATATAATGATAAATTGAACCAACCTTTTTCGAGCAGTTGCGCGAACATGTTCTGCACATTGGAGTGGTGGTGTTTCCACCGCAAGCAATATTGCTGCGGCATCATCTTACATTTACTAAGGCTTTGGTATCAAGGCAGACGGGCGCTGGGCGTGCGCCAATGTTCTCTTAAATTAACGCAGTGGAATGTTCCATCGGTGGTTCACGTCAGGTGTCGTGTCTGAAACAAAAGGGAGACGCATTTTAATGAGGAGTAAGTCATCATTATCAACAACAAAGATATTTTTGAGTGTGTTTTGCTGTTGGTCGCAGATGACCTTTACAGCGTCACCGGGTTTGGGGACGGCGAGATCCTAAGGGAACCTCAAACCGAGAATTGGCGAGTGCCTCTAGAGGTATTCCAGGCGGATGGCATCACCCCACGGGGGGAGATCTCCGTCTGGAGCCTCTAGACCACACGAACCTGAGGGGGGCGGCCCAACTAGAGGGCGTCTCTGAGACTCGAACCTCTGCTCTAGTTAGCCGTTGTCGTGGGGGCGGGGAAAAACGCCCAGCTACGTACCTATACCTGGTATAGCTTGTCGTGTGTAGACCAGGTCTTCGCATTCTTATCCTACTGGTGCGGTGTCTGCCTAATACTAAGCTAGTGTGCATGTTTGTTAGCTGTGTAGTGTTGGTGTTTGTGGCCTGTGTGGGAGGAATCGGAGGCACAACAAAGAGAGGTAGAGCACAATGGATGCTATTCTCGAATTGGAACGCCCGGCGTCACCTTAGAGAAGTCCACAGTAAAAGAACATGACCTTTTGGTTGTATTGTGTTTTTGCTGGTGAATAGGTTCCCAGGGCTCTGCGAGGTAGGGGATTGGATTCAGGCGGCTAGGTGAGGTGGCTGGAGCGGCACACTTTCTGCCGCATCATCTATTTTGGCGACTGGATTCCACTTACACTTAACATAAGGTGGGGTGGGGTAATTTGTTACGCCTCGTATAATAAATAAATAAATAAAGTCCCCACTGCTGAGATCTATGGATGGAATAGAAAAATTGGGATGCCACGCGATTGGCGGGTGCTTCCGACACCAGATGTAGCTGGGACGAATAGCTTACGAAGCATGGAGTAGGGAGTAATTAAACAGTTTTGGCCACCCATCCTACGTCCGGCCTATTATGCTTTTTTACGATTTATTGAAATAAAGGTTAATTTGTCAAAAAATAATAAAACTAAAGACGAGGCTGTATGGGCATTGTTCCCTTTGCCTTCCTAAAAAATGGAGAATTTAAAAAAACATTAGTCCATAAGATTTCGCTAGCGTTAGTCTTTTTATGTGAAATGAAATAAATAAAATGTTGTTAAATAACAAAAAAGTACAGTCAACAACGTTCTTGTTTGAAGAGTGTAAAAAAAGTTGAGAGTAGTAGAGAGAAATTCGACAGTTTTGCATCAGTTAAGTAGAATCCAGTTTCCAAAAACGTTAGTTTGCACTTGTGATATTGTCAGGAGAAAAAAGTATGCTTTTTGTTACCGTCTGAGAGAAACTTTAAACATTCTTTTAATTCAGTTTCATACCACTGTTTTACTAGGTACTTTGTAACACCAATATTATGTCCTGAAATGAGAGCAGGGAAGGTTATGGCTTTCGTGTTACACCAAAAAGTTACAAGTTTCAATATCAAACAACCTCCTTGGCTCACAAATAAAAAACTCTTTAGCTCACGTTTCGACGATATTATTTTTTTTTAATAAACACAGACACAGGTACTTAGTACACCAGCAAAATAAACGTACCATAGATACAGGCATTTATTGAAAAGAAAACATCGCACGAAGTAATATTCCGAACGACCAGACGCGCAGTCACATTTTTTACACTCGAACAAATATTACTATTACAAACAAAAAATCCTCCACGCGCGAATAAACAAATAGTTATGCCGCAGGGAGACGGCGCTTGTCGGATTTTTGACGAAACGTCGGGTTTTGAGAGCATTAATATCGTCGTGTTGACATTATTTAAGTATTTAGTTCATTATATTATTTGAGCATCAGCAATAGGGAATATTCACGTAATTTAAGTAAGCCTCATTTTATTTTGATATAAATTCTATTACTTTTAAGTTGTGCCTCCAAAACTCAAAATATCTTTATTTAAATGGACTTTGCTAAGTACTTTTAAATCGGCAATTCCTTACCATAGTTTCGAGACGTAATAATTATTTCACTTAAATACCTAATTACTATGTTGCTTTGTCGGAGAAGACGCGACGTAAGACAATTTCGTACTGATCCTACTCCATCAATATTTGTTAATAAATTTTTTTTTCGAGCAAGAAATTAATTATATAAAAGTGCGAAAAACTTGTGGGAAATATGTATTTTAAAACGCGACAAGAGCGGTTGTGACGTAAAAACAAACAAACGTGATTTATTTATGTTTTTATTTGTGAAACGTACACACTTCACAGTATATACTAATGTCAACGAGATTGTACGTATATTGCGAGTACGTAGATGTCAAAGCCACGTTCCACCTAGACACCGATGCAACTTTCACTATGCCATTTCATTTTTTATCAAATATGTATGAAACATAATGTCTATTTGACTGACGTAGGTTCCGACTTTCATACGCAGTGAAGGTATGGAACGCAAAAATTCAGTATTTTTTTCATTGATCTTTGTAGGTTTTAATATATCTGATGAGATGCATTTAATTGCCGGCTTAACACTATTTAATTCATAAGATAAAAGAAAACGTCTGTGTGAGGTTCCTGTAAATCTTTCTATTTTTATTTTTGACTATGTTTGGGCTCCACCAAATTCAATGGGAAACAATAAATAACATTTATTTATACTTCAATTACCCAAATGAATAACGAAGCTATTCCAAACGTTTTGCAGTGCATTCGCTGTATTCGTTTTTCTTGTGACTTTGAAAAAAAGGCATGTGGTCAATTAGGAACTAATGTTATAGTCTAATATTGAACTGTGACTGTGGCAACTCTATTTTGAGTGGCCTCAGATAAGGGCTGTACCCCTGACACCGCTATCATAGTTTCCAAAATGTTACGTAAGCCACGAGATATCTTATCAGACGTTTTCGAAGTCGAAACCAAATTTAAAAACGTGTTTGTGTGATAGATTTTATTATCTGAATAAAAATAACGTCTAATGAAGAGGTGTAAATGTCATTAAACTATTTCTCTTTTAATGTGTAGGAATCGAATAATAATAATGAATAAAATTTTAATATTTTACACACCACCTGCATATGGACCACGTATTATGTGTCAAGTATTCCTAATTTAAACTTAAAGTAAGCTGTTAAAGCCAGAGGGAGCTAAAGTTGTATGGAAGTTCCCTTGGGTAATAATGACATTTAAATTTGGAACGCCAAAATGTCAACAAAATCTTCTATCAAAAATCCTTTCGAAAAAAGGAGTTTTTTTTACTATAAAAATCGACACATCGAAGGCGCTTTACTCCGACGAATAAAACCTATTTTACAAAAAAAAAACTTAGCCTTTCCAGTTCTCGCCACGAAATAAATATAAAATTCTTTATATAGGTACTCCGTGGTCCTTGCTGCATAATAAAAAAAACTAGAAAGCAGATATCAGATAGAGCTACTTAACAAAACCAGTTCCTGTATCGTATCGATAAGGCAATTTATTTTTTACACTGGCTTTATCCAAATAATAATATTTCAATATTTTAACTTTAAAGTTTAAAAGTACGTCTACGCACGGACAATAGGTCTGTATATGTTAATTATTCATTAGAGATCTCTGTTATTCCGTTTTCATTCCAAAGGCATTTTTTGTTTTTTATTCCTATGTGAAACTTAAGCAATGAGAATATTTCTGTACTGGAGTCGAGCAAAAAGTTGGCATAACGCAAGCGCCGTTTCTAGTTGTGCAACTAGATTTTGCGCACTGCGCGACGATGTGGCATCTGTGATATTTTTATCTGATTTCTTATTACAAAAACGATAGAATTTTCTTAAATAAACCTGATGATCAATGATCAAAATAATCATTTAAAATTAGAAATATATCATTAAGAAACAAGAACTACACAACCACTGTCAAAATTAATTAATGAGAATGAATGAGATGAAATGAATAAACCCTGAAAATATTTCATACATTTTGGGCAGTTGTGCTAAAAAAGTGCCATAATGCTGCTCAACAATTTTTTAGTTGAATGTTTTATTTGATTAAAATAATAGCGTGGGTATATAAATAAAAATATTGATAGCACCTACAACTGGCTGAGTACTTCCTAACAAGTTTAGTATAAGTTCCCGTAAAAGTTATATTCATTAACGGAAATGATAAATTCGCTTAGATAAAACAGTAATAATTATTTATTTATATCGTGTGCCCTTGTTCTTTAAAATAAGCATTTATAAAAACAAAAATCTTGGAAAGCATATGAAAAACGAATGTAGATCAACTGTGACAAATGCATGACGAAACGTAATTTTAGAAAAAAATAACATTGGGTCTTTCATAATACCGATCTGGTAAAAATAGCGTTTTGTTACATGTTGATGGTTGGTTGATTGTCAACATGATATTTTGTAACAATATTGTTTTTTTTAAGAGAACTTTTAAAGATGGTTGTATATATTTTTTTAATACACCCAGTTCAATTTAGATATAAAAGTAACATGGTACAATCTGCCGATGCCGGTTTTGCGATTGGCTGTAAATACGCAGTTATTTATTCAGTTTTGCATGAATGAATATCAAATTATTTTGTGCTGATTAATGGTTTTTGCAATGCTAGTTTCGAAATTCTCGGTGGTGAAAACTTCAAATGCGGACAATTTAGAAATTCGTTAATTATTTTGCTGTTTATTTCTTTATTATTAGCATAGCATTACCTATTAGTAAAATGAAAGAGTGAAGAATACATGAAGAACGTGTCATGAATCACCACGTGGCACGGAAGTGTAGTGTAATTAGGGTTACCACACCTCTGGATTGGTCCTGAGATCTCCGGATTTATAAACTCTTCTCAGGATTGTGTGCGGATTTTGCAAATCTAAGGAAATCTCAGGATTTTTAGAATGTGCAATAACATACAGTTTCTTTTTAGGTAAGCAACATCAACCGCCGTATATTTTTTTAAATTAATTTACAATTTTGATTTTTCGCAGTTTCAAGAGACCGTAGACTTGAATATATGGTTTAAAAACTCAATACCTCCGCGTGTT